CAATAACTGATACATTCCAGATGCATAAAATTTTTTCCCAAGTTAGAGTGCTACGTAAGAAGGACCACGTAAAAGAGTGTTTAGTATCAGCACATACCATTGCCCTAAAAATAAGAATGTGGTCAGAATAATGACATCAAGAAAGCTTTCGAGATTTACAAAGTCTCCATAACTGAAGTGATGCAACAAGAGGAGGAAGCTTACCAGAATATTTTACGGATGAATACCGAGCAGACCATAAGATCAGTAGGATTCTGCATGCTGCAGCAGCCAAGAGGGCTCTAATGAACACAGCCACAACGATGTGATCCGGGGTAAATTACCGATGTTCCTGAACCCCGAGAGGGGGCTCTGGCCTTTTCCCTTACTCAGCAGCTGTAACTGAGCCCCTGCTCTGGAACAAGAATCCAGCTTTACAAACACTCAGCCTGGGCTCCTCTGGGTTGAGGGTGCAGAGCAAAGGCAGAAAGTTCTACTCAGAAATTAGCTCCACCCAGACATCTGAGTGGATGCAGGCCAAAATGATGATGATAATAGTAGTACCGATATTACGAATAACATCTTCTGTTGGCAGAGGGGTTGCGGGAGCCTCCTACAGCCCTGACAGCTGGACGCTTCCTTCTGGACAGGCCCAGACCCAAATTGCATGAGGCGTAATGACCGCTCAGATCTCGTGGCTGTCGGGCTCACCCTCTCCCAGCCAGGCCCATTCCTACCACACGGCCAGCAGCGCTGTCCTCCGCCTCCCTTGGCCACTGCCTGGCAAGGGCCCTCACCCCAGGTTTGAAGCAGTCAGTCACAGGGCGGGAACACAACGCTGAGCACCTCAAGCCCCGCCAAGCTTGTACTTCGGAGTGGATGACACCGCGTAAGGGCGGCATTCACCAGAGCTCCTGATTGGCCCCCAGATCCCGCGAGATCCCAACTCTCGCTGAGCCTAAAGCCCGGCACAGATGGCGCAGGCCCCACCTGCTGAGTCTTATGTAACAAAGTGAGTGGCCTTCAAGCGGTAAACCTGGAGTTGTTGTTTAGCCTTTACCTAACCAAAGAGTTAAATTATTTACTTGTATTCAGTGTGTAAATGGTCTTTCTCAAAAGTACTCGGGCCGGGGATTTAGCTCAGTGGTTCAGTGGCCTGCCTAGCAAGCACAAGGACCTGAGTTCAATCCCCGGTACCAAAAACGAAAAAAAAAAACAAAACAAAACAAAGTACTAATGCCATTTTTTAAGATTTAGGCCAAGAGCATTTACTGACAAGAATCAAGCCACGTGGATAAAATAAAGACTCAAGGCACTGTGCCAATCCAGCTGGGAGTACAAATGCCAAAATTTGCTACCCAGTTCTCCATGAGTTACAATCTAGGAGAGCAAAATACTGTAAATTTAAATTATTACAAGTGAGCCACATAAAATGCTGTAATACAAAAACTGACAGCAAGGTCCCAAAAGTGGAATAGAGCTGGGCCTTACAGAGCATATCGTTAATCCAAGCACTCTGGGAGGCTGAAGCAGAAGGATGGCAAGTTCAAGGCCAGCCTGAGCAACCTGGTGACACCCTGTTTCAACATGAAATGAAAAGGGCTGGGATGTAGGTTAGTGATTCAGCACTTGCTTTCCCTGCATTGAGTACCCTGGGTTTAAATTCCCCACTACTACCAAAAAGAAAAATAAAAGGAATCGAACAGGAATAGAAACTTCTGGTTGCATAATTATTTGAGTGAGAGGTGAATGATAAGGCCGAGGCAGAGAAATAAAAATATTAAAATTATTTTCTAAAATTGTTCACCAGTCAAGGTACTTGGAAATACAATAGCGAAAAGTTTGTGAATTAGATAAGTAGGAGTTTTACCCCGTATTCTAGTTCTCTAGACCAGTGCTGTCCAACATGTTGTGTTGGAAATATTCTATGTGGGCTTCTTTTCTGAAGTTTCAAGCAGTTTCTGAGTGCCAGAAATGAGGCCAATTAAATGAGAAACTGACTTAGTAATTATTTTAACTATAATTAACTTAGAAAAATTTTATTTTAATTTAAATAGCCAGAATCACCAGATGGTTGGATGAACTCTAAGTGGTTCCTATGAGTTCTTCCCTATGAGCTATACCTGAAAAGATTTATGTCATCAGTTTGAACCATGAGGGCCTAGTCTACTATAAAAAACAAATCAGACATTAAACATTATTCTCAAACTCAAAAACGGAATGCAAACTCAAGAGACTGCCATTTCCTGAGTGCCTATAACCAGCCAAGCTAAGCGCTTACATGCATTAACAGGAGCCAATAGCTTATAGATGGGACAAGTAGAAGCTCTGGACCATATGCATATAAAACAATCTAAACGTTATTGGTTGCTCACCAATGTTAGTGGTCAAATCCACAGAAAATTTGCTAATGGAACAAATTTTAATTAAATATAATGTATGAAGACTAATATTATTAACCAAGTAAGCATTCTTTCATTTACATTTCAGTTTGAGAGAATTTAGAAGATACTAACAGAAAATTGCTACTTTCTTTTTGCATTTCAAAAATCCAAAATACCTGTATAGGGGGCAGAAGATTGAATGCAAAGTATCATAAATATTAAGAAAGTATTCTGTGACTTAACTACACCTCCAGGCCCTTGGCTTTCATTTTACAAGACAAATTCACAAGATTTGAAGGGGGAAATTTTTCAAAGAACATTTAAATTTATGTAGAATAAATGAGTTTATCATTGTAACACTGTGTTAGATTGATTGATTGGTTGGTTTTTCTTGTCCAGTGGTTGGGCCCTGAACCTTCTCCTTGAACAGTCTCCCTAGCATGCGCCTTCTCTCTCCCTCTCTCTCTCTCTCCCTCTCTCCCCCTCTCCCTCTCCTCCTCCTCTTCTCTCTCTCTCTTTTTCTCTCTCTCTTTCCCTCTAAAGAAGTTCTCACTAAAAAATTGCCTAGGATGCCGAGCCTGAATTGAGCTTGTGATCTTCCTGCCTCAACTGCCCAGGCTGCTGGAATTACAGGAATGCACCACCAAGTCTTGTTAGGCTACATATTTTAAAGCCTTGAAAAAATTTAAACTGCTAATGTCCAACACCTTTTCTGTAATGTAAGGCTAACAGTCATTCTTTGAACCTCAGACCCTGAGATACATAAAACGTTTTAGATCTATGTAATTCATGTTCAAAGAAGTAGTATGACTTTAACTAAGACAATTCTGTAATTACTGAGTGATGAAAGGCTCTGAAGTTGACTGTAATGACACTTGTAAAACTCTGTGAACATACTAAAAAAATCTGATAGAACAACTTCAAAGGGTGAGGTCTATGACTTGGGAATTATACCTCAAATATCTGTTGAAAATAAATAAGCACTATGAAGACTACATACTTACTGTATTTTTGTAATTTATAACTAAGTTTCTTATTTTTCTTGAATATGTGGCATTTTACAACTGACTTATGATGAAACTTTGCTTCTCTAGCATTACCCACTCCTTTTTTTGAGAAAAAACTAACTGCCCTGAATATCAGCCTAAATCTTTCAGAACACACATCAGTAGTCTTATTTTACAAAAACAGACTTGCTGTCAGAGCAGTGTAAAAAAGTATAAATTTTCCACTAGATGGCACTAGTGTGGAAATAGTATTGCTTAGAAACTTTGCACTCATATCAATAAAATTACCAGTGTTTTTCTTTTCATTCATCTTGATTAGTTTGGTTGAGAGAAGAAAAGTAGAAAGACAAGATACTTCCTAGATTTGCTAAATTCTGCAATAAACAGCACTTTCATAGTACAGATATTGCACAGAGAAATAATAACAACTAGGGAAAAACATGAGGGGGACTTCTAAACACCATAACTGAATGAAACAAATTTATTTCTTTTGTGCCATTGCACACATTATTGCATTTGGACCTTAAATTATTAGCTCCTAATTATACAAGACTAAATATTAGCTCCATGAGAGGAAGAGAGTAACTGTTTCATTTAATAATGTCTCCTTTATATACAGCATAGTGCCCAACACATAGATAATTTGACCAGGTCCATCCTTAGACTCTTTGCTCTTGTTATGGCTTCTGTTTGGGTGCCCCCCACACACACACCTAAAGCCTCAAACTGTTCCAGAGGAAGTTAAACTAGAGTGTGTGATTGATTCATGGTGAGGGTTAGGCCTGAGGACACTCGGATTAGGGTGTGAGTGCTATCTGCCCTAAGTAGTGGGAATAAGGTAAAGGGGGCAGAAAGATGCTGCTAAGGCCTCTCCCTTGTTACCTTTGATATCTTGTGAGTGCCATATTGTTTCTCTTCTGCAATGTCTGTTTACCATTCCTGCTTCGGAGCCAGTGGATTATGAACTGAATTCTCTATGAACTGTAAGCCAAATAAACCTTGAATTTTGGGTGTCCGGTATTCTGTCTCAGCAATGAGAGAAAAATAACTAACACAAATCCAGTTTGAACAAGAGTCTTGTTAAATCAGGTTAGTACAATCCTCACTCTTGGGTTCTGACACCACTAATAATTTATTACTCTGCACAACCTTCAGCAAGAATGCTGTTTAAGCAAATCTAGCAAGAATCCTTGTTACTCCTTGTTGAGTAGTTGCCCATCCATTAACTCTCCTCCTGATCCTGATTATAAATTCCCACTTGCCTTACCGAAGTCGAATTAGGGCCATTCTGTCAGTATAGTCCCCATTTCAAGACCCTGTTGCAGTTGTGCCAGTACATAGCACTATGCCCCCCTCCCCAAACAATTTGAATGAAGTCGGCCACCTTCAACAGGTGTCATTGTAAAGTTTGGGGAAAGAATCCTCGGAGTAGTGAGGCAAAGTCACCGCTGGGAAAGCCCTGTATCAGGCAGGCTGCGCTGGCCTCCGGGAACAAGCACAGCACAAAAGGTTGATAACTCCAACCTGGCTTCAGAAGGGCGCCCTGGTCTTAGGGCGGGTACCCCGCTACGCCAGGGGGCGCTGCAGGCTGCTCCCGGAAGCCAGTACCCCTACGGTAGGGCTTCGTCTGGCACCTGACTTCGTCTTCCGGAAGCGGAGAGGCGGACCCGCGACGAGTGGGTTCAGACGGAGGTTGAGGCTGCAAGGACCGAGAGGGACCCGGTCCCGCCGTCGGCGCCGAGGTGGAGCAGGATGGACGAGGCCGGCAGCTCAGCGGGCGGCGGCGGCAGCAGCTTCCGCCCGGGCGTGGACAGCCTGGACGAGCCTCCCAACAGCCGCATCTTCCTGGTCATCAGCAAGTACACGCCCGAGGCGGTGCTGCGGGAGCGCTTCTCGCCGTTCGGCGAGATCCAGGACATCTGGGTGGTGCGGGACAAGCACACGAAGGAGTCCAAGGGCATCGCCTTCATCAAGTTCGCCCGCAGCTCGCAGGCCTGCAGGGCCATGGAGGAGATGCACGGACAGTGCCTCGAGCCCAACAACACGAAGCCCATCAAGGTGCGGGTGCCCGGGTGGCGGTGCCCGCGGGGCCAGGGAGGCGGGGGTGGGTCTCCCGGGCCTCCCCCGGTGCTGTGCCGGGGCGGAGGAGGCTGACCGTGCAGCCGGCAGGGGTGGGGGTGACCTTGGCGGAGGATCCCCCAGGCCCCTGAGCCTGCGCCGGGCTGCGGACAGGGGCTGATGCGAGCCCGCTCTCCGTGCCACCCTGTGGTTCCTGGCAGTTCTGGAGTCCACAGCCCATTCCCCCGGCCTGCCGTGAAGCTGTCTGTCGGTCTGTATCTCTGTCTGTGTCTGTCTGTATCTCTGTCTGTCTCTCTTTCTCGTTTACTGAAAATTGGGAAGAGTATTAATAGGGACTTATAAATGAAGAACTCAGATATTTCACTCTCTGGAGGTCTTGCCTGTATCCCCTCCATACACAAAAGAGAAGGAGCCTGAGAATATACCACAGCCCAGTAAACGGTAAGAAAAGGTACATGGCATTCCCATGTCTGGGTGCAGCCAGTAGTAGAGCATCAGAATACATTCAGTATAACTGCTAGAGCTAAAAGAAGAAAGATAAATTTATAGTCAACTCTCCAGTCCTCTGAAATGGCTCAGAACTAGGCATCAACAAAATTGATTATAGGGCCACAACATATGTTAGATCAGAGCTTGACAAGCTTTCAATAAAGGATCACAAGATAAATATTGTATACTTTAGGGGTAGCAATCTCTGTCATATCCTTGTTTACTTCCAACAGCCCCTTAAAAATGTGAAAAGTTTTTATAGGTTATACCAAAAGCAAAGCTATAGTTTTTCTGACTCCTGCTGTAGATTGATAATTTTCATTTCTTTGCAGTTATGACCTTAATGGAATGGATTTTTATACTTTTGAGTGTAAAAGGATTTTAGAACCCACATGGGCAATGACAAAATGCTCCAAATTTGAAGCCCACTTCCCTTAATAAATCCCCACAAGTAAAATTGAGGGCCCAGCACTGCTTACCTATGAGGGTTTGTTTAGGAAGATAGAAATATCTTCCATTAAGGAAAAATCTTCCATTACGAAGTCATTCTTGTGTTCTACATAGATGTTGTCCTTTATTGGAGATTTTAATCATGTCAATCTTCTGAAATTTGGATATCTGTGACTCGAGGCTCCTGTTTTCCTGTAGTATCTACTCATATTCTTACAGCTTCCGTCTTTTGTGTTTTCCTATTGATCATTCATTATACTGTTGCATCTAGTAGAGTAATTTTCTACTGGTCCATTTCTATGTTTCTCAATATGCTATTGCTAATATCTCACATAGTGCTTGGCATATAGTGCAGATTACTGAAGGAAGAATGAAGTATACTCCAGGGATATGTCTCCAACTATATGACAGGTTGTTTGCTTGCAAAAATAGTGACTTTCTTCATGGCTTTAATATTCTCTTTTTCCAACACTTATAAAGTCCTTCATTGCATTTTCGTTTGTTTGATTTTGGTTTTTCTGAGAACAGGGTCTTACTATGTAGTCCAGGTTGGTGATAAACTCAGTATGTAGCCCAGGCCAGCCTGGAACTCACAGTGATCCTCCTACCTCAGCCTCCCGAATGCTGGGATTACTGCCATGTGCCACCATTCCCAATATCCCAAATGGCTTTTTAAATCCAGTATCCTTTTGGGTTTCTCCCTCCTACACTGGAATTCCATAGTCCAAGTTTAACATATTTGATTGATATATTTCTACCCTTTAAAGGAAACATGCATACATACACACAAAACCTCAGCAGTCCTAGTGTTGATGGTGACTCAATTAGTTATGTTCAAGTAATAAAAACCAAACCTTTAAACTTACTGTACTTATAGCTGAATGAACAAGTGCAGTCTTAGTCACAGATTTTAACATTCCTCTGCAGTAGTAGAAAACCAAGAAAATTTAGAAATTAAATAAAAACAACCCTAGTAAGCAAATTAAATTCAAAGAACGCTAGTATCACATTGTTTCAATAAATTTAAATTGCCAATATTAGAAAAATCCTGTGCCTTTTTCTGCTCACAAATGAAATCATTTGGATCGTCACTGAGGTGAATCAGAATATGGTTGTGATACCTTTTTCTAAAAATCAATAGAAAACTGTCTACACTTAAACCCAGCTGTATCAATAATTACATTAAATGTAAATGAACTGAACAGTAATTAAAAGGAAAGGATTGTAAGAGGGTTAAAATTTAAAAACAGGACTGAATAAAATGACTGTTTGCAAGATACTGGCTTTAAATACAAAGGTACTGAGTGGTTGAAGATAAAATTATACAACAGCTGGCATGTTCTCAGATAAAACGGATGCCAACACATGGGGTTTTAACAGATAGGATGATTTCATAAGACCAAAAGCATCAGGGCCGGGGATGTAGCTTAGTGGTTCCATTGCCTGCCTTGCAAGTGCAAAGCCCCAAGTTCTATCACTGTACCAAAAAAACAAAGAACAAAAGCATCAGTTAAAAGATAGCCAATAATCTCATATTTATGCAGCTAATGAGAACTTAAAAACTTGAAAAACACTTGACATTACTAAACAAAAAAAGATGAGAGCTATAGTGGTGCACACCTGCATTCAGAAAGCCAAGAAAGTGAAGGCAGGAGGATCACAATAGCAAGGACATCCAAAGCAACTTAGCAACACCCTGTCTCAAAAAATACAAACAGCAGAAAAAAGGAAGATGAATTCATAATCAGATTTTCTGTTCTCCTATTATCTAATAGAATAAGTAAACAGAATAAAGATGTGAAATGTTTTAATAGCTATAAAATATATAATGAACATTTTCTTGAACTGTATCAACAGCTGCAAGGTATGCATCCTTTTTAAGTATATTCGTTTGCTCTTGCTAATCAAAAATGAATGTATTAAAAAAAGGTTGGCATTATATAAAAAAGTCATGGCAATAAAGATTACTTTTAGAAAAAAGTTTTTCATAAGACCCTTTCGCATTGCATTTTTAACCTAATATGAATTACATACATAAAATTGTTAAGAATACGTAAGGAATAGGAAAATGGTTGACAATTGTTTTGGGGATTTTGTGTGTTTCTTAGGTTTTTATTGCTCAGTCCAGATCATCTGGAAGTCACCGAGATGTTGAAGATGAAGAACTTACAAGAATCTTTGTTATGATACCGAAATCCTACACAGAAGAAGATCTGAGGGAAAAATTTAAGGTATTTATGTTTTCTAATCACCTAGCAGCTGTGATGACTCCATCCGTGAAGGTTGCACATTTACTAGAAATTAGAAAAGATAGGGTGGCCCCCTGCCAAACTTTATCATGAAAATATAAATCCAGAATAATGAAGCACAGAGCTCAGTGAATTTTAAGTGAGATCACACAATTAGTGGCTGTTGGTGCTAAGATTTAAACACACTGAGTCTGGATCCTGCTTTTGATTTTTAAAATTTTAAAGCACTTTCTTTTCACTCCTATCTGTTATCTATTGCCTGTTATGTAGAGGTGAGTCAGCTGAGCCTGATTATGTAAGATTATTATCTAATATTACAGGCCTATAGTATGTTGACAGTTTACTCATACACGGAAAGGGGAATCTCTTTTAGAAAGGTTTATCATTTGATTTTTTTTATCCTAAAATTGGACTTCTGAAGGAGTTATATTGAAGAAAACAACTGCAGCTCTGAGTACAGATAATGGTAAATGAAATTTGAAAATAATTTTAAATGTTTTTAGCCATTCACTTTTGTATGCAGTACTAAACTTCCACAAAGATTACTTTAAAACAGTGTTTAAACTGTTTTGAGTTATACTTTTTAATATTTGTTCTACTTATGCTGCCAATGCTATGAATCAGGTGGGCAAGAAGCAAGAAAGATCAGAAACAAGCAGAAAAAAATAATTTCCAAACTCCTCTGTCCTGTCCCATGTGAGAGTTGAACAAACTACCTCAAAAATAACATAACAAAAATACATGTTCCATACTTACACTTCTAGTAAGAAAAAATGTTTTTATTCCTACATTTATAACTTTTCATCATTTTCTGAATAATAAATAATACTTTAATGCACAGTAATTAAGTTGCTTACTAGGTACATGAGAATTTATTAAAATAATAAATATAAAGAATTTATATCCGAATTTCCTCCGGCATTAAAAATAAACATTAGTGCATATTTCTCAAATAGATTATTAACATTTTGAGTGATTTAGAGATATACTTTGACTTTCCTCCGAAAGAATACACAATTGTTTATGCTCCTGTTAAAACAGTTCAACAATTACAGCTAATGTGTATTGAGTGTTTAGTATGCGCCAAGCTCTTTGTAAGCACGTAATATAGATTTGTTAATTTGTTCTTTAAAACAACCCATTGCTCCATCTGACAGATAATGAGGCAGGCACAGGCAGGATAATCTGCCTAATTAATAAGTGGCTGAGGCCAGGGATTTAGCTCAGTGGTTCCACCGCCTGCCTTGCAAGCACAAGGACCCGAGTTCGATCCCTGGTACCAAAAAAAAAAAAAAAAAAAAAGTGGCTTTCAATCTAGGTTTCAATCTAGAATGCTCAATTCCAGAGCATCAAGCCTTAACTTCAACTGAGTAAGAATTTGAAGCTACTCAAACCATATATAAGTCTTTTCTTTCTATGATTACCTCCTTTGTGACCTATGCAAATTATTTGATTTCTGAAAGGCTAAGTTGCCTTCATTATGAAATAAACAATAAAAATGTCTTTGTATCTTTGAAGGATTTCTTCGTTTGCAAGCAAGAAGCATGTATGAGTTAGCTTTCCCATGCCCAAACACAATACATGACACCACAATTTAAAGGAGAGAACTTTAAGACGATGTAGTCTATGGTTAGACTGGCTTGGAGAACATGATGGATCAGAGCTACTTAGGTCATAGTGGCCAGGAACCAGAACAAGGAAACAGACTCAGAAAGGAAAGAAGAAGGAACTAGATGTAGACTCCTAGGCCTTGCCTTCATGACCCCCCTATACCCACCCAGTAGTGTGCTCTACTAGTTGCCCAAGTGAATCCCAAAGGCAATGAAGTTGACGTGTAACCCTAACCACCCTATCACACCCCTTGTCACCAAACATATCTTAACCATACTTAATCTCCAAATAAAGACATTAACAAGTTTATAATTTTGTCTAACCTGTTACAAGTATACTGTACACAACCAGAAACAACAATCCCTTCCCCAAAACTCAACAATTCCAGCATTTTTCAAAATTCAAGGTCAAACTCAGTCTTCTGAGACTTAAGGCAAACTCTTAAGTTGAGAACCTCTGTGAAAATAACAAGTTGCATAATCCTAACTATACAATGGCACAGGGAAAATATTTCCATTGCAAAAGGAGAGAACAAGGGGACAGACAAGAATTAGACCAAATTGAGACTCAAATAAACCCTATAGTCCCATGTCTGACATTGGGAATGTGGTGGTCAAATGTGAATTACAGAAGACTTGGGCAGCCCCATCCCTTTAGCCTTGCCAGTTGAAGCCCACATGGCCTCTCTCTTGGACTGGTTCCACTCATGCTTTACAGCTTTCGTGGGCAGACATTCCATGTTCCTAGTACCTTCAACTTCCTGGGTTCTGCACTGCACCTTCAACTTCATTTCCACAGATTCATGTTCTGCCCTCCTAAGGGCTTCATGCCCAACCTCTCAAGCCTTCCTTTGAAATCTGAAGGAATTCTCTTTGACCCCACAACTCTTCATTCTGCATGCCAGTAAAACCAGCATCGTGGGGATGCTTCCAAGGTCTGCTGTCAGTGGGGGAAGAAGCCACTCCCGTTAGACAATGGCTACAGCAGTCTTTGAGAGGCTAAATGGCTGAGAATAGTGAAAAGAATCCTAGGAACAAATTTCATAGGAGGTCCTTCTTGAGCAAAGGGGCCCAGCAACTCTCTTCTTAAATGAAATGTTGACAGTTTGTACCTTAAGCCTGTAATGCCCTTTCCAATTCCTGAGATCCCATGAGGCATCTTCTTGTCCCTGTACAAAGTACTTAGTTTCTTTTAATGCTTCTAATCTCTTAAGCAGCCACATCTCCTTTGGCCCCAAATTTACTTGGGTTTCTTGTATTCCAAGATTTGGGTTTTTCAAGTTTTTCTGTTCTGTCTTTTCCCTATTCTTACCATAAATCTGGCATCCAGCAGTACCCAAACCACAGTCTGAATGTTGAGCTGTCTTGAAATTTCCTCCACTGTTAATCTGTCTCCTGCAAAGTCTCAGGACATGGACAAAATTAGACAAACTTCGTGCCAGAGTATAACACTCGTGGGCTCTACTGCAACTGCTAATGGAGTCTTCCTTCCTATCTGGAAACTCCTTTGCTGTCTAAATTCCTATCCCTACTCAGATCTTCTAAGCATAGACCAGAAATACACATCAGGCCCTACTTATAGCATTCTATGATTTCTTTAGCCCATTTCTAAACCTTTCCAAATTATTTCCACAAACCAGTCCAAAGGCTCCTTGAACCACGTGGTCAGCTAGAGTTATAGCATTGACCCCATTCTTTGAACCAATTTACTATATTAGTTTTTCTATCACTGGACAAAATACCTGACACTCACAACTTAAAGGAACAGAGGTTTAAGGATAATACCTGATACACACAATTTAAAGGAAGAGAGGTTTAATTGAACTCTCATTTTATGGGGATTCAGTTAATGATTGGCTGGTTCCAAGGGAGAAACATAATAGTAGGAGGGCATGGTAGACCAAAGCTTTTTAATTCATGACAGTCAGGAAACAGAACAGGGGAACAGAGCAGGATAGAAACGGCAAGGGGCTAGACGTAGACCCCCAAGGCCAACCATTCTTGACTCAGACACTCCCAGAAGTGTGCTTTCCTAATCCCCCAGGTGTATCCCAAAGCCAATAAAGTTGACACACCACCCTAATGGCCGCAAGGCATGAACAATAATACATTTAAAGTTAGTTTTGAAATAATCTCTTCAATTATTAATTTTGAGTTCCCTAAGATCCTGTCTTTTAACTCTTGTAGGTGTATGGAGATATCGAGTATTGCAGCATTATTAAGAATAAAGTCACTGGAGAAAGTAAAGGTTTGGGCTACGTACGATATTTAAAACCATCACAAGCTGCCCAAGCAATAGAAAACTGTGATCGAAGTAAGAATATGTTTTTGATATTGTTAAAGACTTTTTTAACAGGTAGGGTAAGCATAGGGTTTCTAAGGTTTGCTAACATAGGTATTTAATTATAAAGTTGATTTCAAGCTAAGAGTTACGATAATTGAATCTTCTGCTGTTACTAGTATAAATAATAAAGACTAAGCATTTTAAAGTTGCCAGGATATTCTTTGAAGTGATACGAAATTATATGGAATAAAGTACTGTTTTTAGGTATTATGAAAATTATACTTACAAGAAAGAATTCTTAATAGCATTTTTAGTTACCCAGAAGGTCCACACCAAAATTTTCTTCTTAGATACTTCTAAATTTCCCATTCAGCCAGCATTTATTGAGTACCTATGCTACAGTGATTAATATGCTAAATAGAGGAACACAAATAAAATATTTGGCAATACTGGCATTTTATGTCTACATTGAGTAGCAGGACCTAATAGGTAAAAAATACTAAATAACAGAATAATTTTTAAAGGATCTGCAAACATAAGAAGTATGTCTTATTTGTCTACCATCCCAGATACCTAGTATAGTGATAGGACTCAGTAAAGATTTATTAAGATCTCTTCTTTAGTAACTTCTGTTTATAGTAGACTCAATAAGAATTTGCTAAGTGAAAGAACTATTCAAAAGTAGGTTGGATAGTCTATCAATGATGAGCAACAAGTGCTCCAAGTGAGCATGTAAACACATTGAGAGGAGGTAGGACTTGCGTCTGGTGTAGAATGGGCTGGGGAAAAGATGAGAGCAGGGTTGGCAAAGGCCCAGAGCTAGGAATGAACATGTCTTGTTCACAGTATTCCTGCTGAGAAATTATGAGACAGTCAACTAAGTATATCGAGCCATATGTGGGAAGTTATGAAGAGTTCCAACTTAGTCCACATTAGGATTCTCTTGTAGTTTGTTTAAAAATAATTAAGCTTGGCTGGATGTGATGGCATATTCCTGCAATCCCTGCACTCTGGGAAGCTGAGGCAGGAAGATCACAAGTTTGAGCTCATCCTAACTTAGGTAATTTAGCAGCTTAGCGAGGCCCACTCCCAAAATAATACTGGGAATCGAACTGAGGACCTTGCGTGTGTCAGGCAGGCACAGTTTTACCATTCTTTTTTTTTTTTTTTTTTGGTACCGGGGATCGAACTCAGGTCCTTATGCTTGCAAGGCAGGTGGCGGAACCACTGAGCTAAATCCCCAGCCCTGCAAATAATAATTAATAATAATAAATAAATAAAGCTTATAGAATAGGTCATCTAATCACAGTATTGAGCATAGATTTTCATTGAAGGAATTCACACTGGCCAGTTTTATCCTCTTTGAAGTCACAGTATAATATTATGAATGCTGTGAACCATTGAATTACACCCATGTGCAAATATATGCATAAGTACTTTGTTTAAACTTTCAGAGAGTGCTTAGAACTTCCCCATCTTTTGTAGCTCATGCTTAGACCCCTGGTTAAGAACTCTTGATCCAGAAACAAGGAGACTACTTAAAGGGCTGTTGTAATTAATTGAAGAAATTCTAAATTAAAACAGGCAGAGAAGGTAGAGTAAACAATAACATATTCTACATGTATTTCAAAGGAAAAATCTTGGTGGTAGGTTAAATGTGAAGAAGCCAGATAGGGTTTTGTTGTTGAGGAATGTTGGCAAGATAATAATATCATGTGCAGTTGAATTACATCTTCCATATCTGCATTGACCCGTAAATTGGCATTCTTGCTGTTAGATTTGTTTGCCACATCATTCACAAAGCAAAGAAGTAGGTCTGATGGAAATGGCCGTGAATAGATTTTACTTTGCACAATGTTAAGCTAAGTCAGGCACCAGCAACCATGTTCATTTGCAGGTATGCTAAATTGGCAATGAAATTTGAAATTCCTGAATTCTCTTTTTCAGGTTTTAGAGCAATCTTGGCTGAACCGAAAAATAAACCATCTGAATCCTCAGAACAAGATTACTATAATAATATGAGGCAGGAGGCTTTGGGACATGAACCTAGATTAAATATATTTCCTTTTGGTAAGTGGACTACTTTTACTTCAATAGTAGATCTAGTTTATGCATTCTAATTTGAGCATTTTTTAACTTTTTTTTAATCATTAGTCTAAATCAAACCTAGTGAATAAAATTCTTAAATGAAGTGTGTTTTTAATAAAACATTGCTCAAGACTTTAAGTGTCCTTAAATTTTAGCATTTATTTTGTTTACTTCTAATTATAGTTTTCTCTGATTAGAGCATTATCTATATATTAAACTATGTCACCACCGCTTTTTGAGAGAATTTCTGCCTTTTTGCAGCTAACCAAAAAGTGCAGAAAACATATGCAGATATTCCTTCAATATAAGTCCTAATGTTTTGTCTCAAAACTGTGCCTGCTTTAAAGTTAGGGCTACAGAAAAAGAATGACAAAAGTTGAAGTTAGAAAAAGGAAAAAGTGAGTGATGAATGCAAGTTCTTTAGATATTATTTGCCATAAAATTCTTAGCATATTTTTAAATTTTACTTACTGAATTCCCTCCTATTGAATCAGTCTTTGTATTTCTGTGTTGAAGTTAGGGGGTCAGGAGAATTGTGTGTTTTCTTCCCATTGGTCTCTTCTGGGAGTGCTGATGACCAAAAGCATTCTGCCAAATATAGTGCCTTTGTCCAGTGCAATGGGCTTTTATTTTCTAGTGCATAAAATGTTGCATGAGTTTTTGAATATATCAAAACGTAAGGATTTTTCTTTTTGTTTTAAATATTGTTGGAGATCAACAATCTGAATTTCCAAATTTTGACAAGAATGACAGCAGAGGCCAGGAATCTATCTCTAAACGCCTGTCAGTTGTATCGAGAGTTCCTTTCACCGAAGAACAGCTTTTCAGCATTTTTGATATAATACCAGGATTGGAGTATTGTGAAGTTCAACGAGATCCTTATTCAAATTACGGTAAAATATTGTCGATGTTGTTTTTACATAGCTTACGTTTTGTTAAGATGGCTTTTTTCAAATGTCTTTTTTTTTTTTTAATGACAGATACTATTTCTGTGGTAGGAGTTTTAGTTTTTCTTTCTCTCTATTTTAGACTTTAAAATCTACCACTACTTTAATAAATAAACCCCTTGGAATGTATCTCCTCTGTACAAAGTTATTCTTTAAAAAAATTTTTTTTTTTAATTTTCATGAAATAAAGCATTCTTTGTTTCAAGAAGCAAAAGAAATACCCCATGATAGGATTTCTGTTTGTAATCTTTTGATGAATGCCAGGCAGTTTTGCTTGTTTGTTGAAGAATTAGAAATGAAAAGCCATATAAAGACATCATACTTGGCATTTTCTTCCAGGGCACTGTATCTGATTTAGTCCTTTCAGAATGCCTTGAGTGTTGAGCAGAAGTAGGGAAAGGAATATGGGTTGGGCTGGCAGCCCTAAAGTACCTCACCCTTCAGATGGATGACCCCACATGCTGTCGCCCTGCCCAGCCCTTACCTCCTAGTGCAACTCTCCACTGAACCTCCTTTACTCTATCTCCATCCTTAACCTAAACTTCCCCTGTCATTCTCTTTAAAGCACCTAGACACATATATTGTGTTTCCTGGCACGTTTGTTGTTATATTTATTTGTCATTCTGCTTTATGCCCCCCATCCAACTGCCTTTTATCTAGTGTGTTGAAATGCATTTACTGTACCTTCTGTATGGTTAGATCTGACTGTAGAGTGTGTCATTGGAACAGAGATGTTTCAGGATGTTCAATCTTATTTCAGTTCATTTTAAATGGTCATTTGATTTCTGTGTTTTAATTTCATAAAAATATTGGATGCTTGGGTTTAGATAGAAACAAAATTTTAGGTGTTTTACCCAAAGTAGGTCATATTTTAAATATATCTAAAAACCTTTTTTTTGTGTGTCACAAGCTCCTGGCCTCTCCTGTATAAAATTGTTTCTCCCTTTAGTTTGAATTGAAATCTGTCCCCTTAGCTGAAATCTCCCCAAAGGAATTTGAAGGAGGTGACTTTTGATCTGAGACATTCTTTTACTTTTGTTTTTTATACATACCACTTTGTCTCTCTCCACTGCTATACCTAGCTAAGTATATATTCTTTCCATATACCACTTCTCATTTCATTTCCTACCCAGTATGATAGAGAAAATTTTTAAATTTCAAAATAAGTTTCAAAAAATGAAAATTTAGGTGTATAGGTGTATTTATAGTAGATAAGAAAAATCAGTATATTGAAGTTATTTTCATTATACAGAATATAAGTTAAAACTCCTAAAATAGTATTTTTTTTTCTAAATAAGACTTAGGTTTTACTTTCTAGGAATACTGCTGACCCACACATGTATGACAGAACTTTATTATCTGATACCTTTGATTCTGTATTACTAGTTGTGTCATAACCAGGATTTTATATTGTTTCACCTTCACATTATAACACAGTCCTTACACATTTAATCTGCTATCTTTTCCATTTCTGTGTATTCTCAATTTTAGGTCATGGAGTGGTTCAGTATTTTAATGTAGCATCAGCTATTTATGCAAAATACAAGTTACATGGATTTCAGTACCCTCCTGGGAATCGAATAGGTGTTTCGTTCATTGATGATGGGAGTAATGCAACAGAGTAAGTATCTTTCCTGGAGTGCCTAAGAACATGATTATGATTTGAGAAATAAAGGTAGAAAACAGTCGACCCACAGGGAAGTCACAAAAAACAAGTAACAGCTAGAACTGAGTATTTCCAGCTTTCTGTAAATTATCAGTTATTGTCTCCAGTCTCCTTAGAAAAATGGCAACGCAGATGGTAGCTGCGCAACTTGCCTCTATGGTGTGGAATAACCCAAGCCAACAGCAATTTCTGGTAAGTAGGTAAGAATTTAACGCTTACAGTACAGCAAATTGAAGATAAATCTGACCTTTTTTTTTTTATTACCTGTTAAGTAAGAAAATATTCAGAGTCATATTAGAGGATATATGTGCCACAACATACATCATTGTAGCTATGGCTAAAATTCCCTGAAATACGGTTTTGTTTTGTTTTTTTAATCTTATTTTGTATCTCCCTCTTCAGCAGCAATTTGGAGGAAGTTCTGGATCACAGTTGCCTCAAATCCAGACAGATGTTATACTTCCATCATGTAAAAAAAAAGCTGATCCAGAAACTCCTGTGAAAGAAAGACTCTTTATTGTGTTTAATCCTCATCCTTTACCTTTAGATGTATTAGAGGATATATTCTGGTAAGATTTCAATTCTGCATGTTATGTTTTTATAGTGTAATTTAATAATTTTGGCTTTCTCACAGTCTTGCAACTTACTCTATCCAATACCTAACAGGTAGATATGATTTATTCTTTGACTTTTTAAAATTCCTTTTTTGAATCCTCTTTTTCAATGTATGATCATTTCCTCCTCTTCTTTGCTACCCCAAATTTCTACACAAAATTTTCTGTTATTTTGTTTTGAAATAAATTATATAGGATTATTCAGAAAAGCTAGATGTATGGAATAGACAACTACTATTTCTCTTGATAAAAAAAATACATCATTGGGCTGGGGATTTAGCTCAGTGGTTCTGGCACCTGCCTCGCAAATGCAAGGACGCGAGTTCGATCCCTGGCACCAAAAAAAAAACAACAAAAATACATCAGCATCAACCTGACTGCACTAGAATTTTTTACACATATCCTTTTGTTCATATTTATAGTTGATCTGGCCATCATTCATTAAGTACTTTATATTTTTTCCAGCACTCTGTTGGATCCTAAGGCCTACATAACCATATTGAATAAATAATTACTTGATCATAGGGAAGGAAGAACATGTAATAAGTATAGAAGAGAGGGAAGGTTTCTGTTTGTAATGTAACTCCTAACGAAGCTTTTTCTTTTTGGTCATTTTTCTGTTTCCACTGCAAGAATATTAATGAATTAAGAAGATAGATAGGAAGCTTCTACACAAAACGTCAGGCATGTAGTTCAGATATTTTGACCTTTATTTAACTGATTCTTTTATTTTTCTTCTTGAATTGCTTCTTTATGCCAAGTAGGCACTGTAAGTTCTCAAGATGTTATGTAACAAAACATGATATTCTGAAAACAAACTAGCATAATCATTTTCCTCTTAGATCCACTCTGCAGAGGAAACAGACAAATGGGAAATTACAACTTAGTGAGTGATGTTGGTGCTCTGATAAGGAATGTGTGACAGACACAAGAGTGGCCCCTGCTGTAGGAACTCTAGGAGGCTTCTTGAAAGAAGCAAGATGTATGAGGAGATCTGCAGGGTCTCCTGTTTTGGCACAGGAGGAAGCTGCAGGTGTGGATGGTTTTTCCTGCCCAAGAGAATATGAAAGGGAGCCATTAGAACACAGACTGTGAGACATTAGGAGGGAATGTGAAGGGGAAGAGGCCAAGGGCCGATCCCAGAGCTGTTTTCGGAGTTTGTCCTTACCCTGGAGGCTGTGAGGAGATGCTGAGGGGATGTGTAAGGAGGAAATGATCGTGTTTTGTTTCAGAAAGATCACGAAGAAGACAGGGCAGAGAATGGGTGGGAAAGGACCGAGGCAGTGGTCAGAAGCCTAGTGAAGAACGTGAAGCCATGTAGGGCGCGGGTGACTCGGATCTGAACGAGGAAAGAGAGTGAGAAGAAGGAAATCAGCCGAGTGAGCTGTTGACGAGCAAGACTGGCACGAAATAACTGTCGGGTGTAGGGAGAAGGGTGCAAAATGAGTTGAGAATGGACCCCGTATTGGAGCACTGAGCAGCAGTTTGACTTGTAGGAACACTACTGACCCACACGTGTGACAGAACTTGAGACCTTTAATTCTTTGTCACTAGTTGTGTCATAATCAGAGTTTTATATTATATCATCTTCACATTATAACACGGCCTTACACCCTTAATCTGTGTTCTTTTCCATTCCTGTGTATTCTCTATTTTAGGTCATGGAGTGGTTCGCTATTTTAATGTAGCATCAGCTCTTTATGCAAAATACAAGTTACATGGATTTCAGTTCCCTCCTGGGAATCAGTTAATTTTCCTTTTTACTGTGTTTCAGTCGTTTTGGTAACCTGATCGAAGTGTACCTTGTGTCAGGAAAAAACGTGGGTTATGCCAAGTTTGCAGATAGAGTGAGCGCCAATGATGCCATTGCAACCTTGCATGGGAAGATTCTGAATGGGGTCAGACTTAAAGTTATGCTCGCAGATTCCCCAAGAGAAGAGTCTAACAAGCGGCAGAGAACTTACTGACTCTCAGGTAAGCATTTCTTCATTTGAATTTTAAACGCACTGGCTAAATAGTATGAGAAGAGGGATGTACTATAAAACATAAATATTTTAATCGTGGACTTTTCAGAAAGCACTCGTCAAAAGCACTTTGGCTTAAAACTGCTAGTAAAGCCACATTGTCAAGAGCATATGTTTACAATATAAACTTATTTAAACTTAAAAATTGTTCTTGGCATTTGATGGAAAAATGTGTGTGCTCCTCTATAAAATAAAATCAGATCTCAGTTCAGAAAATTAATTGCTTTTTATTTATGAACATCTTAGATTTGAAGAATTGAATGTTTTACTGTGTACTTATTAAATAAACTTTAAAATTGAAATACTACAAATGATTTTTAATGTGAAGAACTGGTGTCTTGAATAATGAATTAAAATAATTTTTCAGTTTTTATAATGTTTTTACTTCTAATAAAATGCCTAAAAAGTAGTATTAAATAATGTATCTTCTTTAACCTTTTTAATTTCAATATTGGTGTTTTTCTGGACTTATGTTTATGAATTTGTGCATTAAAAATACACATTCAGAAAATGTTTTTGTGTGCATATATGTATTTTTAAACATTCTGACCATTTACCAAAAACTCTTGTTTATTATAAATACTGACATATACAGTGATATTATTACCTTCTCCTGTTTGTTTTCAAAAATAACACTTAGATTCTTTTTTCTATAATAAGCTATATTTCTATGGTTTGGGATAGCATTATTTAAAGTTAGATTTTTTTTTTTTTTTTAATTCTATAAATGAACTCTGAGTTTCAGGGAAAGCTGCATTTACTAATTTCCAGTCACATCAGCCTCCTGAGTCTACTGCAGTTCACATGAATCCAGTTTGAAGTTTCTGACTTAAAACTGTTTCTTTTCTCAATTAAGGTTTTCTTTGTTTTTGATTATGTAAGCTAGCAAGTATTGGGATGTTTTATTTAATGACAACATCTATTCTCATTACACCATATGTTGTTAGTAGTTTAACCCCAGAAATATTAAATAGCCAATGAAAAAGAATTAACGTTTTTCCTGTTTATGAATAAAATGTTAAGAACCAAATTCTGTTTAGATATACTATCCTCTAAAATAGTTTGCAAAAGTTGTGATTATTCCTGTTTTTGAATTTTTTTTTTTTTTTTTTTTTTTGGTACTGGGGATCGAACTCATGTCCTTGCGCTTATGAGAGAGTTGCCAGAACCACTGAGCTAAATCCCCAGCCCTTTGAATATTTTAATGTTTAAACATTTTGCTTTAAAAAAAGTACTTAAAAAGGACAATAACACCAATTTCTTACTATAAAAAAATATAAATTACTTTTATGGTGGAGCTTTTCCTAGTGATTGTTTCTATTTTAAAGAGAAAATTGGTTCTGGTGTGAAAAACTATAATAGTACACAAGATCCTAATGAGATAATTAACAATGTGAAATAGGAAGAAAAGAGCTAAAGGTGTAGGGAAAGTGGGAAGGGTAGGGGAGAGGGAATAAGGGAAAAGAAAAAAATATGTGCCGGGGATTTAACTCAGTGGTTCTGCCACCTGCCTCGTAAGCTCAAGGACCCAACCAAGTTCGTTCCCCAGTACCAAAATAAGAAAAAAATATGAGAAAATGGAAATAAAGTGTTTGTAAATGGGTAGGGGATGAGGGGGTGAAGGGAGGGCAGGGATAAGGGGAAAAAATGAGAACCAAGACCTGTCATGTGGAGGTAAAAGATCCAAGTGATGAATGTAACTGTACTGTATACCTAGAATGTACCAATAAACTCAAGAAAAAGAAAGAGAGAGAGAGAGAGAGAGAGAGAATATTGGACCTAAAATAAGAGGATCTTGGTTGAATTACTGCTCCAATAGCTCCTGTGATCAGGCAATTGTCTGTCTTTGCAATCTGAGTTGCTTTACAGAGTTATTGAGAGACAATGAGAGCAAAATTTATTGTAAAATTTCAAAAAATAAAAATTTTTAAATCAGTGCAGATATGAGCTAAAACCCTTGCGTTTATAATTTAAGTGAAGCCTTTGAGATGTTATCTCATCCAATATAATCACGTTGAAATGATCAGAAAAAATCAAGTTAAGTTTAAAATGGGATAAAACTACCTTATGGTCAGTGTGGTATTGTGAGAACTAAGCTTTATAATACTGTATCTTTCCCCTTGAAAGTGATGTACATTCATCTAATTCACTACATTAAAGGAATCACATATTCATGAGAATGACTAATCCTGAAGATCAATCTACCATTTTTTCCTTTATTTTTATTCAGGGCAAAAATAAAATAGGGTCAGATTAGTTGAAAATGGTTATTTTGGTAGGATAAAATTAGCTCTAATTTTAATATATCCTAATTGTAGCATGGCTTGTATATTTATTTTTGCTTCACATCTTTTAGTTATGAAGGATTCCATAATGAGAGGTGTGTTAAATAAACATATGACATGCCCATAATCCCAGCATCTCAGAAGGTGAAATAGAAGGATCATTTGAGCCTAAGCATTCCAAGCCAGCCTGGGTGATTTAGTGAGACCCTGTCTCTAAGTAATAAACTTATTATAAAGTTTGCCAAAAGAGTATAATAGACTTTTCCAAATTTAACATGATTGTGATAATTGACAGTTTTTAGTGGGGAGGGAATGCACATTGTTCCTTTAATTTGAAGAGATCACAAACATAGCTTGTTATTCTTGTTTCTAAGGAATAAGCCTGAGATCAAGCTAGCCACATGTAGGAAACAGAAGAAAGCATTCTGAGAATATAATGCTGAAAGTACTTGAGTTTTGAGATGAGTACTATATACATAATATATTTCCCTTACTATTTGAGGAAAATAGACATAAATTATGTCAGCGCATCTGGTTTTTTATTAATTTGCATTTTCCCTGTAGAAATTTAGTACAGCACCTGCTTGCATCATTCTTTAAGTAAGCTTGGCTTTGCTTATTTGGGGAAGCTATGATTAAACAAATCACATTAGTTTTATTGAAATAAAAGAATTCCTAACATTTTAGGAATACTATATACAAAGGCTATTTCAGGTGATGATTTTCATACTTGTGTTGTGTTCTTTCTACAGAACAAAGACTAAATAATGACTTAATCCTCAGCTGACTGACTGAAAATGTGACTGGACGCACTCCTTGTGGACAGCTGACAGCTTTTTTTTTCATATACCTGATAGTCTGCACAACATCACAAAATTGTTTTATCTGGGAATCAGGGATGGCTGACATGTATTATAAAATCTATTATCTTAATGCTAAAACAAATATCATAGCTGTTTATCAGAATAATATGTTGTTACATGTGGGAGAAAAGAAGTTTCTTAGAGGAAAAAAAGTATGTTATGTACAGCAGAAATAAAGTTCTTTGCTAAATAAATCATGACTTTGGTCAGTCCTCATAATTGATCTAAAACCTGGTTCCCTACAGTTTCACTTACTAGTCCTTAGCTTTTTCACAGGCCATATTTTAGCTGTTACATATGTTCCTGCTCTCTAAGTTTTTGTTGGAATTACGTGATTCTGGTGGCTGAATGTAAGGTCAGGCGGCCACTCTCAGTAGAGAGGTGTGGTGTCAGTAGGGTGCCTCCCCTAAGTTTCTTTCTTTGAGTTCTTCATACAAATGTGAGAGAGACCTGTTTAATATCTCTCAGTGAAACACTTCTTTGCTGTTTCAGTGGGAGCAATCTTCTGCTTTGTTTTCTTTCCCAGTGGCATATGGGTGAACAATGTTTATTTTGATTTCTGTGTGTGCTTCATTGTAATTCTCTAAATAGCTTTAGTCTCACTTTTCTTACAGTTGATCCCTAAAACCTTATTTTTAAAAGCTAGAATGTCATATTTTTCTTAAAATGAGAAAATTAGAGAACTCAATAGCATTTTGCGAACTAATGCTTATGTGTTCGCCTAATTTACTTCTCAGGTATACTTTGAATATAAAAAATATGAACATTTAGATATCAGCAAATGTCAGGTATTAAAACTCAAACACCATAGAGTTTTATTGCATATTTCTTTTTGAAAGTTAAAAATGAGCCAGACATGGTAGCACATGACTATAGTACTAGCACTCTAGGCGGCTGAGGTAGGAAGATCACAAGTTCAAGCACAACCTAAATTGCCTCAAAACAAAAATAAAAATAAAAACTAGAGATGTAGCTGAGTCTGAAAGCCCTGGGTTCAGTCCTCAGTGCTGCAAAATAAATAAATTAATAAGTAAATAATTAAAAATGTAAACAGTACAGCTCAATAAGCCTCTTTCAGTTCTGTGGTAAAATAAGTAACACTTAAAGCCTAATCAAAACTTTCTTGTAAATTCATGAACCCAAGTCTTTTGTGAAAGCAGAACTGCATTCTTTCAAATTCCGAAATGACAATTTCATGGATCAGTTACAAAATGGTATTATGTCTTCATCTTCGATAAAAATTAATAAAAATGCTGAGGAAACTATTATTGTGAAATTATGGCCATGCCTAAATTTTGCTTTACAGTAGGTTAATTGGGTCCTTCTCAGAATTAATGAACCCATAAAAAAGGAAAAGAAAGCAATTTTTACCACAAGGTGGTGTAAGTACTGGCATTCAGAAACAGTGAAGCGCAGTATTCCGCCATTACTTAAGTCTCTGAGCCTGGAAGATGAGCTTTTATGCTTGAAGCAGTGGTTCTTAACATTTGGTATCCTTCGAAGCACCTTGACTGTTTGAAGTAAAGATATCCTGATTCTGCAGGTTTGTAGTGGAGTTTTCAATAATCTCTTTAAGTGATTCTGATAGGATAGTGATTGGTATTCACTTTGCAGTGTACTGACCTAGCGATTCTGGATGTGGACTTTAGGTTGGACTGTTGTGAAAGTAAGATTGTGAGAAATTGTTTCTAAGTCTTTCAACATCAGGTGTCTTTTAGAATTAACTGCTTTTTCTTTCATTTAACATCTATAAGTATGACTTGCATTAAGAAATTGAAAAACACAAGCCATCTCAATAGCAG